CTAATGGGGACATCAGTTAGTGGAGTTAGGACTCACCCTAACCTAGTGTCACTGTGCCTTAACTAATCACAGCTTCAAAGATTCAATTTGCAAATAAGTCATCTTCCAAGGTTCCAGAGAGATGTTAACTTCTGGAGGACACAATGCAATGGAGTGCAAAAGGCTATGGCTACAATTTAAGGAAAAGGTAACTGAAGCACTTGCCTCAAAACAAATGTCTTTGTTCTCCTGGCAATCCATGGTGTAGTCAATACTCTTCACCAACACAACAATACAAATGCATCAATTATTCTTCTATCAGCCTTATGCAGTGTCCAACTTTCAGATGCACAGGAAACAAACTGTCAGTTTTTCTAAAATCAGACTTCAGATATATGAGTAGACATTTAGGTACGGGGTTTGGAGTTCCACAAGCTGAAGACATAACGATGAGTGAGGGTACAGATGATGTTCAAAGCCACGAGCAGGTGATAGAGATGAGATGCTGTGTGGAGCAGAAGCCATCAGAGGAGGGCAGAGGTCTGACCATGGGACATGCCGGTGTTAGGTCGTCGGGAGATGAAAAAGAACCACCAAAGGAGACTGAAGATGAAAAGGCTGGTGGAGCCTGGGAAGAGCTATTTTGCAAAGACTCCTCCGGCATGTAAAATGGATCCGACGGGCCCAAGAGTGGTTGACACAAAAGCTGACATAGGCAGACCAGTATAACAAGTTCAGAAAACTATTTCGAGCAGGCCGGCCACCTGGGATTACTGAAGGATGTCTGCCTGAGAGATTGTCCATCATATAAGAGTATAAAAATGCTCACGAAAATAGAGAAAGCAAGCTTTACGAATGGTGGTACAATGAAAAGGCATCCTGGACGCAGGGAGCTGATCCCCCTTCAGGGACCCCACTGCACTTGCCTCACATGTTCTGTAGAATCACAACCATCAGATTTCCAGCCTTTGCAGGTCAATAAACATTATCTTTTCTAACCGGGTCCCTGTCTGTTGCATGCTTTTAAGATTCTGGCCACCACACAGTGGTCTAGGTGAGAAAAGTCTGGCGGTCTGGACTTGACTGATGAGGAGGAGGTACTAAGAAGAGGATAAATACAGGTGACATTTGAGAAATTAAATTATCAGGTCTTGCAGGTATGTTGGAATAAAAAAAGAGAGAGACAGAGGGTAATCACAGATGACTACTAATTGTCAGAGGTGCAAAACCAGAAGGGTGAAGTACTTTAATGGCTCAGGGCATACTGGAAGATGGTCCAGCTTTCCGGCAGGGAAGGTTATAAGTTCAATATCTAATTCACGGGGATGCTGAGATAGGAGCTGGAAACGGATTGTAAAGCGATGAGACTCAAGGTCATTTGGGAAGTCATTTGGCTATCGGACGAAAATAACTACATGGGAAAGACTACCTACAGAGTCCACTAAGAGCAAAGGTGGTCTGGGGTTGAGGCTTTACAGAATAAAATTGCACTGACTGAGCACAAGAAAATGAGACTGCAAGAGGAGAAAGAAAAGGAGATGAAGATGTAATATAAAAACAAGAAACATGTAAACTCTAAGGGCCAGCGGAAATGAGTGTTTCAAGAAGGGACGCGACCATGCCTATGCTGATCAGGGTTGATAGTTCATAAGAGAGACCAAAGTACTGATCTCTTAGGATTATGGCACTAGCAAAGAATACTGAATACACCAGGGGCTGTCAGAAGAATGAACAAATCTGAAAGTGATCACTGTCATCGAGATGAAATGTACCCACAGCTAGCTAACCCTCTAGTGGGTTTTTGGACAATGTGATCTGCACTGAGATTGTATACAGCTTTAGTTTGCTTGGCTCCACAGTCAACACTCTTGGCACCAGTAGCCAGGAAATTAAAAGGCACATTGCCATGGGAAAGT